TGTCTGCTATCCTCCAGTTCCTACCGACCATAATCGCTGTCTTTCTTTCTCTCTCTCTGCCTGCTTCGTCTCTGCCTCATCTCTCTCTCTCACTGTCTAGTACACTTATATACGATAATACTACTTGTTCTAGAAACTTCTAAGACTCTCAACACGCGCTACCAGCGTCACTTGACTTCCGCTGTCGTAACACACTAGCGAATTTTTTAGAATACTCGTCACGTGACCCCCGCTGTCGTAACACACTAGCGAATCTTCTAGAATACTCGTCACGTGACCCCCACTGTCGTAACACTGCCCCTTCCTTAGTATTGTTCGTCCCGAACAATAGCCACTTACATTAAACTAATAAACAATTAACAATAACTTAATTAAATGTACAGAATTTACAAACACAAAATTAAAAATTCAACAAAGTCTTTTAATTTTTCAGGACATATCTTCTTCCGCACTGGTCTCTGTCTCATTGGCTTCTGCCTCGTGTGGGGTTCATCTGCTTCATCGGGAAACGTCCTATCATTGGTTACAGTCACATCAGTAATAGTAACTTCATCAAGGGCTTCAGTGTTTCCCTTCTCAAACTGAGTAGAGTTTCTTCTTCGACAGTGGCTTTTTCAGGTGACACGTCTTCAGCAGTGTCATTTGTTCCGTTGTTCACTTCATCCCAACTGAAATGTCCTGGATCGTGATAACGACAAAGCCTGTTGGCATGCACCACCTTTGGCTTATCAGTATCATTAGTTTAATAGTAAAAACCTTACCTCTGCAAAATAATAGCATATGGTGCCATTCTAAAAACAGAATAACACAATTAGAGTAAAAGTTAAGAGGAAAGGACTGCAGAATGTAATCAACTATGAAATTTTAAGTCATCTATTTGAGGATTTCTAGTTCTGAACACTTAAAGGTAATCTGAACTTAAGAAGTAAACAAATACACAGATTTTAGTATAAGGATACTTTTACACTTTCAAACCAATCTGATAAATAACAGAATGTCTAACCTTTTGTTGTGCCTTCTCTTTCTTCTCTCGCTCTTGTCTTCGTTTCTCTTCCGCTTCCTCTTGCCGCTTCAGCGATTCTTTCTGACGTTCTTCCTGTATCTGCCTCAGCCTTTCTTGTCTCAAACGAAGCTACTCATACAAATGTAAACCATTAAGTGGCATCAACTGGAACAACAGGTTTTTACTCATAACAACAAATACATAATACAGAAGTTTTTGACTAGTTTTGAAACAATGGAGACTAGCTTACAATAAAAAAAAACAGTTTATCACGTATAATCACAAACCTCTTCCTCTTTACGTTTTTTCTTATCCAGTTCTTCTTCATACTCTCTTTGCATCCTTAGTCTTTGTTCCTCAATTCTTTTTGCCAATTTTTCATCTTCTTCATATTCCTTTTCTCTAGCTTGTGCTGCTAGTTTTTTCTTTTCTTCAATCTAGGATTTAGAAGTATATTACAATTTGTTAAAACAGTCACTAACAATAACGAATAAGATGCTAAAGGAGGTAATTTTTCCACAATAAAGTACTTAAAATACACTGACAAAATCAAAAAGACAATTTTCAACCAAAAATTAACATAAGGGGATTTTGAAACCTTCCACATAAAATGATGAACAACAAGAAAAACATAATAAATTACATTGTATTAATTGTCAGTAAAATTAATGATACGAATTAAATTATTTAATAATTTCCCTTAATTATGATTAACACTTTAACAGCCTGTAAATTTTATCTTATTCTCTAGTTTATGGTAAAACATCATAATTTCTTTGGAAAAGAAAGTAAAAAAGGGCAATATTCATCCCTAAAACAAGTCTAGACAAAACCCAGCATTACAAAAAAGATAAAAACATAAAAATATTTCTTTATACATTTATCAAAACGTTACTAGCACTTCAACTTTCAGAACAGTTCACTTATTGCCTTTGTTAAAAAAATAAAAGATTATTCATTACCAAATACTTTCAAGTGTTTAGCTGAGGTCACAATAAACATTGGATATACCAGGCCACTTTCACTACAAATATCACACTGGTTAAATCAGACAAGATCACTCCTTAATCTTTTTGCCACAAAGATTCCATTGGTTAATTTCTACCAGGCCACTGCATAATCTTACAACAAAGGCTCCACTGGTTAACTGGTCTGAAGTATT